GACGATCGTTCTCTAAACGATATACTATTATACGTATATTTTTTAAATAAATATACCTTATAAAACTGATAATTTATTCATCTCTAATGCTTATAACATCCATCTTTNTTAACAGATCAACTATAAATCTCCATGCGTTCATATTTCTTGTAAGAATCGTGTTTTGTATTGTATCGTGACTAGTTAAAATTAAATGTTTTACGGGCCAACATTTTTTAACAAACTATTATTTTAAAGCTTTTTAATTAAACATACATGTTACAGGCAATAGAACGGTTATCACACGACATTACTTTCGTAAGAGATAATTATATTTATATTTTTTCTGTTCTACGTATGTTTTATTTTCAAAAGATTCCCTTTCACAAATTGAAAATACAATCGCATAAAGATAATTTCCAATTACCGCGGATATAGTTTTTACATTTAGTACAAACTAGCAACACAAATATATTTATCATAATCCATACCATATTTATCTGCATATATTACCCATCGGTTGCTAGCTTTAATTGATTTCTCCTCATTTTTTTTTTAACTATGTTATAGACGGATCCATTCATACGTATTCCACAGAATATTTTCGTGTGGAAGTTAAAAAATGTATAATTAGTGAATTGATGATTAAATGTGATTTAGTACGCTTTTAGTACTGTTCGACATTATTTTATGTTGTTGGAACACATAATTTCAACACGGAGCAAAAAGTACTCGTAATTGTTTATTGGCATTTCTATTAGGTTTGAACGACGAAGATAGAAGTCACGAAAGAATGTCGTTATCTTTGTCCCCTGTTACCGCTTTCATATTGATTAGTCCTGATTACCAGGAGTAGGGAGACATAACAAAAAGTATGGACAGATAAGTTCCGGTCGTAAGTTAAGAATTACAGATAGCACGAGGAAGTTATGGCATCAGAGACAGGGACAGCAATTGCCCTACATAAATGTCGAAATTGGTGAATACGTGAATACAACAATGTGTTATGTGTGCGAAAACGAAATATACGAAAATTGAGGATTTCTACGCAACACAAATTCTGAGTTAATCGGTGAGTGAACAATTAAATATTTAGCACCGATAAAATTCAATACGTATTAGCTTACGCTGCTACCTACTTTCTGAAATTGAACCCCTCGTACATTAGAGAAGGGTTCTCCGAATTTAACACACTCAAACGATGTATTGACTTTTGCGAATGTGTAGGATTTATTAAAATTAAATCAATTTAAATTAAGAGTAACAAAGTCAAATTTTTACTCGAGGCTTTTCATAATCTTTATAAGGAAAACTGCAAGGAAATAAGATAACCAATTGTGCATTTTGATTTATAAAAATAATTTGTGATCGATTTGAATCGAATGATTCTCCCATTGAGTAGTTTTAATAATTTTAATAATTTGTTTTATACTTATATAATGGAAGTAGTGTCATCCTATGAAAGGATCATAAATTACAATCTTTTTTATCTTTGCAATACGAGTACTACACGATAGTTGAATACATTCGAATTAGATAAAAGAAAATGAACACGGAAAATCAAATCAAATCTAACGAAACGTATTATAGGATTTAAATCATCATGGTAAATCATCGTAACGTTAATAATAAAGCACAAGTGAAACGTCTTGCCCTCTTGGAGAAAAGATTGTACGTTAACGAAGCGACGGTACATGTAAAAAATGAAAATTATCATAAAGCAATGTGTCTGCTCAACCAAGTAAGTTCTCTTTAAGCATTCTCTACAATTTAAGGAAAGCGTCCATTTTTCTCGTAATATTGTAGTAAATTAGAAAATGCTTCGGCTGCTTCGAATGCACAACGTCGCACAGCAATAAGATTATATGAAATTAAAATTAATTATATTACATTATTTATTTACCTACCAAGCGGGCATTATGATCTGTTCTTCGGAAGAAGGCACGTGGAATACACACATATTCGTAACAACTATCCATCCCACTCGTATTACTTGATGCTAGTGGAAATGGAGTGGACAGCTCTTACAACCACCAGCATATTTCAATTCATCTTTCGCGAAATAAATCATAATTCATAATTCTTTGAATCGTGGGCAAATATATGTGGATACCTTTTGAAACGGAAATAACTTGTTTGAGATTGGACCGAATGAGTTGAACTTTTTTGAGATGGTGGAAGGACCAGTTTACTAAGAGATGTATAAAAGTTCTTTTTCAAAATTAGTAATTGGGTGAAATGATAAACAAAAATTAGACAATAACGTTTCCTCAACATTTTTATCTGAACGTATAGTAAAAATTCGAATGTGTTTTGTAGCTTTCTGTAATTTATAGGCATGCTGAAAATGACAAAATCTTCCGATTTCTATCAGTGTACTTCTTTCGGTTTCAACTTATAGCAACGTTAAAAAATTAACTGAATATTTTAATGAGTAATTGTATATAGTAGAATTCCGATTTTCCGGCATACTTGGGAGTGGGGCAATGCCGGATAATCAAATATACCGGAAAAGTGGACTAAACGAAGATTTACATTAAGAAATGTTACTCTTCGACTTATTTTGCGTGTAAAATCACTACTACGCGGCCAGTTGTACCACGATTTTGAGTGTGGCGATCGTGGCATATAATTTTTATATGTCGTTTTTAAGGTTGCGGCGCCGCCGCACACTATGACTTGACATAACCCACACATAGAAGAAAAGCCATATACGTGTATTAGTTTGAGAGGTTTACATCCACTAAAACTGACGCTTTACTATCGAAGTGTGCAGTTCACTAGTGGAAAATTTAGATTCCAAAAAGACTAAACGACTATCAGACTTTTGTTCCTCTCAATGAGCACTATATGTTGCAACGAAAAGCAAATTTGACCCTTCGATCTTGATTTTCAAGATCAAGGACAATTTTGCGGTCCATTACTTTAGCAGATCTCTACCGATCAAAAGTTTGTAGAAACACGCTATAGTGGTCGTGAAATATTAGGTCTATCAGAAAGTTCTGTCCGTTTTTGAATTGAAATATAACACAATTTTCATACATTTAATAATATTATATAATATTATAGAATAATATAGAATAATATAATATAATAATAATAATATAATATAATATATTATAGAATATACTTTCCATCGTTGCTTATGACTTCTTGCCAGCGTGATGGCAACTTGTAAATGCCATTTTTAAGAAATGATTTATTTTTAGAGGCGAAGAACTCGACTAGTGCTTGGTTGACATCAGCTTCAGTTTTGAATTTTCTTTCCTGTAAAAAGTTTTGCAAAGAGAGAAACAAGTGATAATCGGAGGGTGCTAGGTCCGGGGAGTATGGTGGATGCGACAGAATTTCCCAGCCTAGCTCTGCGATTTTCCGACGAGTCGCTAAAGCAGCATGTGGTCTGGCATTATCATCGGTAGCCATGTTTTCACGATCGCGTCTCGCTTAATAATGACACGAGACATCTTTGTTTCAATTTATTTAGGAGAGTACATGCGTGTAAATGCAATGATAAAGAGAGATAGTCATATATGTCTGAAATCAACATGTGCATACGGATTGAAACTTGAAGTGACGCTATCGGACAGAACTTTCCGGTAGACCTAATATAAAATATTAGTTTCGGATAGACATCACTGACGCATTGAATGACGCCTATCCAGACGTTACTAATGCATGCATCCTCGTTACAATAGTTTCGACCACCGCGTCGGCCGTCTGTCATTTCAAGTCCAGTAGTCGATGAAGTTGGAGCGGTCCTGACTTCATTATCTATGTATAGTAAGACTCGGAATTAACCACAGTACGCAACATGAGATTACGCCTGATTATTATTTACCTGAGATTTAAATCCTTCTGTTTTGAATCCAGGATCTAAAGTTGTTGCGATTTAATGAGATTTGGTACAGTGATAGAACTTGTGAAGTTGAATCCAATGAAACTCGGTTTGGAAGATAAACGGTTTATAATTTTTAAGATAATTGATGTTTAAGTTGTTAATAAAAAGACAGGAAGACGCGCCATATTACGGCGCGAGGGTTCGGGTAGGCCGGATCGAACCACCCACCTTTCCCTACCCCCTTAATATTTCTAGACTGTGCCGGTGTAGTACCCTTTTGTTCTTTCATTCCGTTTGACACAAATCATATGCTCTCTCTCTCTCTCTCTCTCTCTCTCTCTCTCTCTCTCTCTAAATCTAAACTACGTTTACAGTCTATACATAGAGTTTTTTTCCGATACTACATTAATAAACACCTAACGCGATTTTAAAGATTATCATATGTTCAAAAAGCGATGAACATTTAATCGCACGATAAGGAGCAAGAAATTAACGGACTCATTGAAACTCAAATGTTCAATGTACCAAAATGAATGTAATAACACATAACAAACTTAATAAAGAATACCAGAACAGTAATAGCAAAGGCGTTGTAATAAAATCGATAACAATAATTTCACCGTAACAAGTTCAGTGAGAATCGTTTGATTTCGAGCAAAGCACAGTACGTGTTGATGTAACTGCAAACATTCGAGTGAATTCGACCGCTATCGCACAAGCAAAGAAATTAAGTTAAGACAATTGTCTAAATCAGTGGTGTCAAACTCAAAAGCTAACTTGGGCCATAATAATAAATAAACAATGCTTAACTTTAGGTGGGCCGCAAAAAAAGATCAATGTTCATAGAAACAAATATTTTTATTTTGACTAGTACATTGTAATAAACATATATAAAGTTAAATTATTGTTTACGTCCTGATACTTGACATCAAAAATGTTTATCTCGGGCCGCGAGTTTGACACCCCTGGTCTAAATGGTGCAATATGCACGCCACCAGAGGTGACGGATTCTATCGGTCCCGATGCACCGCAACAGTGGAACACCACGTTATTTGTCGTGATTTGAACAGGCAATAACATGCAATAACTAAAAATAAGTTTCACAGAAGTAAAGTTTGAATTTAATAAATTTCTAAAAATTTAAGTGCGACATGAGTAAACGCTCAATTTCGTAAACATAAAGTGAAAATATACTGTGTCGACAGAGATATCTGTGATCTGGAGTTAAAATGGTTTTGAATGCAAAGAATTATGTCCAGAGGAGAAACGGCCAACAAGTCGAATGCGAAGCGATTTTTGATCGATCACAGCCGACAGGAAGCGACTTTAACACCTACGCCCCCTCACCTATTATCACTTATTAGTACGCAAAGGCACAAAATTCAATGTGTTGAATGTTAAGATTTTAGTAGATATATATCGCAACACATGTTTGGTAAAAGAAATCGAGCCTATTATGCATACAGAAGTTGTACACAATATCAATAGAAGATTGAAGTTTATAAAAGTTATTATAAAGTTGAGGTTTACCCTCTGAAATATATCAATAATAGAGTAACTAATAATAGAATTTGCAATAGAATTACATCATAACATTATCCTTCATCTTTATCTCGTATCATTGAGGAGAAACCGAAGCGAAGAAGACACAAAATACATATATCGAAAATGTAGAAGTCTTTCTTCATGTATGTACAATCAGAGATCTCCTCACGTGCCGAATTCGCCCGCATTGTTGACTGTTTCTAAGGAAACAAAGCCGCCGGCGAAGGTGTCGATAACCACACGTCCGACCCGCAAACGAAATACACGAAAGAAGCTCTCGCATTTCGAACTAGTCTTGTGAATGATCTACACCGAAAATATTCCACACCGAAAATTATTAGTAACAATAGCACAGTGAATAAGTGTATATAGTGCAAGTATCAGTGGAAAATTAATTGAATTAGAAAAATTAATTGAAACGCGCTCTATACGCGCTACACAACCAGCACGAAGGGGAGATATAGTTTGCAGCGAGCGGACCGCTCACTCCAGACACGTTCCGATAAAGGAAGAGGACGATACTCTGATCAGGAAAAAAAAGAAGCATTATTTTATTAACGAAAAATAAAATTTCGAAACAATCGAAAAATGACGGAAATAATCGTAACTGAATCGATCGATACAACGGAGGCCATTGACTCCAAGATCATGAACATCTTAAATCCATCGCTGCATCATCACGATCTACTGCAAAGCTATGTAAGAGCTCCCGCAGACGCAACGACGAGTTCGAGGCAATCGGAGGAGTCCGATGCACCGAATAAAAATCCTTCGTTCTTGGGCACTTGCCTCGCCGTGGACTCATCCGAGGACGTTGACAAAGAAAGCTGTATCAGCAACGATAGAAGGAAGAAGAGAAACGACAAGAAACAACAGAAGTACAAGACGGATAAATCGTCGATCGAATCGGAGATGAACATGCAGAAGAAGAAGAAATGACGCCGGCAGGATAACGGTGTTCACCGTCAGGAGGAGGTATACACTGATAAGGATCGTGCTGCGGCGGTGAACATGGGCACCAAGGACATCAAGCAATCGTTGAAGATGAAACAGAAACAAGATCGGAACATGCAGTTCCCAGAGGACACTGAACCGACCGCCATGCTCGCTTTAGGATTGCGCGAAATGCGCATTGGCGATGTTATGGTCGCCATGAGTTGTATCAACAAGGTTTCCATTTATTCAGCATAACTATTCAATGTTAGGTTTAGGCCCTTTCGTTCTAATGTCATGGTCGTGATTTGTGATCGGCAACTGTTTCCTCGACGGCGTCTTCACGATGTTGACGACACGCTGCGAAGCTCTTTACGACTCGAGATCAGAAATTAATTCAGTTCATACTGAAACACGTACACGAACACACAAGATGACACTAAGTTGGGGAATTTGTCATTTCTGTTCACAGCTCTTTGTTTATTCTAAAAGAGACTACGCAGTTGCTGTTAGGTAACTACTCGATTGAAACTTTATTGTCGATGTGTAACACGTTCGAACTAATTTTCGATTTGTTTGAAATTCTGCGAATAGCTTCATTTTACATAAACATAATGTTTGCCAGAAGGGTTTACCGAAACCTCGAAGTTCAGGTCCCAAAATTTTGTGAAAAATGTTTTTATCATTTTAATGCAATCCTGGGTCACCATTAGTGTAACCTTGTAATTTTGAGAACTTTTATGCTTCGATTTTGCTAACATTTTGTGAATAAGTATCTTTTAGATAGCGTTTTTTACGTCTTGTTAGGTCATCAAACATTGTTTTTGTCTGAAAAAAAACTTCAAAATTTCAGCCATATCAAAGCATAGAACTTTGCAAAATTACAGGAAGTGAAATGGTAAAAGCATTTTTCGAGATGTTTTGGTCGTTGAAGTTCGAGTCTCTGAAAATTCGTCTCGCAAATATTGTTTTTATGTAAAATGAAGCTTTTCACAACATTTCAGTCAAATCGGATGTGTTCGGTTTTTGGAAGTTTCACCCTAATATTCATCAGAGGTAATCGATTATTGGAAACATTTAAACGGAAAATTTGGTAAATACTGTTATCTGACCCCATGGTAGAAAATTTACCACCAGAATGCGTTTGGATCATTTTTCTTCAAATAAAAATCGAATTTGTTCATTAAATTGCAATACAATTCTGGAGGTTCGGGATCGATGAATTTTTTGTAGGTCTGATATTAAAGTGTCGTTACACTTGATATACTGTTATTAGAACATCGCACGAAACACAGCTTTAGTGAACAGTGCTATTCTTTCATTAAATGAGGGCACAGCATGTTTACATCCCCACTTCTATTCCAGTCCGCTGCGATCGCAGGCAGTGATCGATATTGGCTGTCGATGGTAGGAATTGCAGCAGAAGTAGACATGTAAACACGCTGCGCCTTCTTTTGATGAAAGAATAGTATGTTTTTTTAACAACATAATATATAAAATAACGATTTTGTCCAGCAAAATTGAATTTTCGTGGGTACTTAAAATATATTTGTCTTATCTTTGCTTAACAAATTTTCAAACTTTTAACAATATTTGGAAAGGATAGATTGTCAACGATTAAAAAAACCACAATATGTGTATCACTACACGCCTTTTAAAACGGTACAATTTTGAAAAAATTGCATTTCAATGCATGTAGCTTGCCTGTGCGTTAACCGAGTTCAATTAAATATTTAGTAATAATAATAGTGATTGAGACGATAAATTCTATACACTTAAGATAATACAAAAAAAGACATACAACTTTTCAATATTCAATCAATTGAACGATGGAGTTGCGAATACAAATTAGAAAACCGATATTCCATATTACACAATCTAATGCGTAACTTAGGGCAGGCTGGACGAGTCGCGGCTTGTGAGTCAAATGTGGTTCTTTCCCCCTCTTACGAGTGCTCTGCGACTCGTCCCCACCATGCACCTTCAGACATCCCTTACTCACTCACGCGACACTATCGCTTATGGCGCGGTGTAGTAGTAGTGTTTACGGAACCCAAGTACATATGTACATAATAGGAAAGGAGAGAAACTGGTGGTGAGAGCTTGTGGCTCGCGACCGAAATGACCCGCCCAGACCTGACTTAGAGCAAAGTCATCATTTCAAACAACAGTTCATCAAAAGAAAATATACACAAGTGATATAAATCGAATTGAAATTCTCGTGTATTTTTGTTTTTATTATAAGAAAGTTTTGTATAAGAATGTTCATAAATAATTATATGAGATTGGTAGAGGTATATAAGAGAGTTCAAAGTTCGCATAAAACGCTGTTGATAGATACGCTATTGATAAAATGAAATGCTTCACTTGTGCGTCATGTATTTATAATATTTTATTACGTTGTGTATATTGTTTCTTTTCAGGCACTGACTCTCGAACCGAACGACAGAAATGCATTAATAGCACGGAGCAAGTGTCACCTCTTATTGGGAGAACCGCAGAAAGCATTGCAGGATGCTGAAAACGCATTGCGATATAAAATGAAAAGTGCCAATATGGCGAAAGCGATATATTGCAAAGCGGAGGCCTTGTATCATCTGGGTGACTATGAGATGAGTCTTGTCTATTATTATCGTGGAATGAGAATTCGCCCAGAATACGGACAATTTCGTCTTGGAGTTCAGAAATCGAAGGACGCGATAAAAAACGTATTGCACAAAGATTCAACTGTTATCGTGTGAATATTCAAACAAATAAAATAATCTTTAACAAGCTGATCGCCAGAAATTTATTTGAAAATTTTTCAACATAGTCCATGTTCGATTTTTCGAATTTGCACTCACAAGAGAACGTTTCCAAGTGTAACACACCGATTTTAATGAGACTTTAGTATAATATAGTCTGTTGGAAAATATCATCGGAAGCTTTAAGACAGCGTTCCAGCGTTCTATAAAATTCTTGGAGTGATAAGGGTTAAACAAACATATCCTGCATGTTCTTTAATACGATTATTTATTATTAAATTAGTTTTGCAAATCGACGCGTGAGATGTCATGCACTTAAGAAAATTTAAACGGCTGTCACGGTTAAACTACTTGTTATTTCGGGTCCGAAAAATTAGTAAATATTCTTCAGACATTCTGGCATAAGGATGAACAGCGTTTTTCTTCAAATTATCACTGTCATGTGGTAAAAAAAATCGGAAAGTTCACGCTCCGTTATTTGTTCATTGATTCGAACGCAGCACGGTGTCCCCCTTCTTCTGTCAAGCTCCGCGGTCGGAGCACGTTGCGCACGAGCGTTGCGCACGTTGTAATTCGCGCGCTCGCCTCTCATTGGTCACTGTTTTCCGTTAATAACTTCTAAACAAAGCTGCAGATTGAATTTTCCCTAAAGAAAATGTTACTNTGTATAAGAATGTTCATAAATAATTATATGAGATTGGTAGAGGTATATAAGAGAGTTCAAAGTTCGCATAAAACGCTGTTGATAGATACGCTATTGATAAAATGAAATGCTTCACTTGTGCGTCATGTATTTATAATATTTTATTACGTTGTGTATATTGTTTCTTTTCAGGCACTGACTCTCGAACCGAACGACAGAAATGCATTAATAGCACGGAGCAAGTGTCACCTCTTATTGGGAGAACCGCAGAAAGCATTGCAGGATGCTGAAAACGCATTGCGATATAAAATGAAAAGTGCCAATATGGCGAAAGCGATATATTGCAAAGCGGAGGCCTTGTATCATCTGGGTGACTATGAGATGAGTCTTGTCTATTATTATCGTGGAATGAGAATTCGCCCAGAATACGGACAATTTCGTCTTGGAGTTCAGAAATCGAAGGACGCGATAAAAAACGTATTGCACAAAGATTCAACTGTTATCGTGTGAATATTCAAACAAATAAAATAATCTTTAACAAGCTGATCGCCAGAAATTTATTTGAAAATTTTTCAACATAGTCCATGTTCGATTTTTCGAATTTGCACTCACAAGAGAACGTTTCCAAGTGTAACACACCGATTTTAATGAGACTTTAGTATAATATAGTCTGTTGGAAAATATCATCGGAAGCTTTAAGACAGCGTTCCAGCGTTCTATAAAATTCTTGGAGTGATAAGGGTTAAACAAACATATCCTGCATGTTCTTTAATACGATTATTTATTATTAAATTAGTTTTGCAAATCGACGCGTGAGATGTCATGCACTTAAGAAAATTTAAACGGCTGTCACGGTTAAACTACTTGTTATTTCGGGTCCGAAAAATTAGTAAATATTCTTCAGACATTCTGGCATAAGGATGAACAGCGTTTTTCTTCAAATTATCACTGTCATGTGGTAAAAAAAATCGGAAAGTTCACGCTCCGTTATTTGTTCATTGATTCGAACGCAGCACGGTGTCCCCCTTCTTCTGTCAAGCTCCGCGGTCGGAGCACGTTGCGCACGAGCGTTGCGCACGTTGTAATTCGCGCGCTCGCCTCTCATTGGTCACTGTTTTCCGTTAATAACTTCTAAACAAAGCTGCAGATTGAATTTTCCCTAAAGAAAATGTTACTTCAAATGACCTCAGCTATCCCCCATTTTCGTGTTACGGGACATTTTTGGGATACCCTGTATAGTCTGTGGTGGCAACCAGTGACCATCAAGCTCCTTTGAGAAGCGCCCTAGGGAAGTGGCTCGGTGGCAAAAATAATGACCACAAAATAATGACCAATCGTGCCATCTATCAGCAGATTTCTCATTTACCACAGTTAAGTATGGCAGCCAGAAATGGCTGCCATATTGGAAATATTCACAGCCGAATGAAAATTTTGATCGCGAATTTCTTAGTTGCAATCGTTTTACGATCGTTTTTCCAGGAAAATAGGAGTGGGAGAATTGCCTGTCACAAATGGGTTTGGATGATGCCAATGGATACCATTGACAATCCATTGGAATCCTCCAATCTCATTTGTGAGGTCTCTCCGCCATTTGGAACAGATTCCAAGCAGAATCTCTGAGACACTGGCCACACATGCAATTTTATGTTCCGTCGCTTTCCTGGAAACATACCAGAATTTGATAAAAGGGTTACGACGAAATATATCACACGAATCGTTATAAATTTTCTAGAACATTAAATGATGTCTTCGTTCGATGAGAAATATGATAAGGTTAATTGAAATTATTTATCAATTTATATTACTACTATGATATTTATACGTATTGTTATGTAAATTAATGTATCTTCCAGGAACATCCGAGAAATTTAATACCTGAACTATGTAGACAATTTTATGATCTTGGTTGGGTCACTGGAACTGGTGGTGGTATATCTATCAAATATGAGTTAGCAATAATTATTTATTATGTTAAATTTAATATATAGTCTGCATTATTAAAATTATATTAATTTTGCAGAGATGAAATATATATTGCACCATCTGGTGTCCAAAAGGAACGTATCTGTCCAGATGAAATGTTTGTACAGGATATCAATGGAAAGGATTTAAAGTTACCAGCGTCTGATAAAAAATTGAAAAAATCTCAATGCACACCATTATTTATGTGTGCATATTTAAGAAGAAATGCGGGAGCTGTAATTCATACTCATTCCAAATTTGCTGTGATGGTTACTTTTCATTGGCCTGGTAAAGAATTTCGTATCACTCACCTTGAAATGATAAAAGGTATAAATTTATTTGAATATATATAAACATGAGATTGTATGTCAGTATTTGTAAAAACATTGAAAAAATTATAATAGGTATAAGAAATCAGAAATTGGGAAGAGCATATCGTTATGATGAAGAACTTGTAGTTCCAATAATTGAAAATACACCATTTGAAGAAGACTTAAAGGATAAATTGGATAAAACCATTGTTGCTTATCCAGAAACGTGTGCTATATTAGTGAGAAGACATGGAATTTATGTTTGGGGTGATTCATGGCAACAAGCAAAGACTATGTATGTACTATTTATTTATAATGACTGTATTATTTTTGTTTCTCTCTCTGCATTAAAATATATTATATTTATTTTATAGGACAGAATGTTATGATTACTTGTTTGAGATAGCATTACAAATGAAAAGAGACGGATTAGATACTCTAGCGACTCCTGAAGATTATGAGTTAAAGTATCAAAAAAATGGAACACTAAATGGATAATAATAGTATGATTATTTCTACAAAAAAAAATTATTTTTGTATAAATTTAAAGGAAAAATTTATGTACATATATTACAGTATATACATTTGTTGATTCATTATAACATTTCATATATCTAAATCAAATGGTTGAAATTCTTTTCTAATTCTGTTTGCAAGTTCAATTTCTTCTTCCTTGGTCATTTGACAATCTTTCCAGTCAATTCTGTCACTCATATCTAATATTCTGTCAGCTGCTAATACTTCCCGTCCAAATTGAAGTGGGAAATCTTTTTTAATTCTATAGAATAACTTTTCTTCACTTGGCAATTCTACATAAAAGTACAAAACACCTGGCTTTGCAATTTGTTGCAAATTTGTATGCGGTGGTAATTCAGTAATTTTGAAATTATTACATTCTGCCATTTCCTAAAAGTAGAAAAGTAGTTAGTACTGTTAATTAAGATTTATTAAACCGTAGTAACGCAATAATTTACCATAAAGGTTTCCTTTAAAGCAGGTGCTAGGTTTTTGTGAACAGGTATGACTTGCAGCTGACAATGAGAAGTTTTAAAATTCCTTTCAAAGAATACAGGTACCTTATCTACAGTATTATAATATTTTGCAATAGCATTTTTATACTGATCCATTTCTTCTTTCACATCTTTTGGTAAAATAGAAAGGCTTTGATGATGTGTTATTGGTAAAATTAAAAAGTGCTCTTCGACTAACCCACCTCTGGCTAGAGCAACATAGTTTTCTGTTCCAACTGATATTACCAAATGCTTGGAAACTTCAGGACTCGATAAGCAGAACCAGCATTTTGCTTGATCAAATTCTAGTTTTGGTCTTTTATTATGTCCTTCTGAATGTTTTGACCTCTTTGTTGTATCTTTGGATTCCATATCATAAAAATATTGTGTGCATTTTGTTTCTTCTTTTTGCGCACTAGGCTGGTTCGATAATATTGATTTAGAGTAAGGACTTTCTGTTTCGTCTGTTGTTTTCATGACCAAGTCAGATAAACGTGTTCTATCGACAGGAGTCAAATTCAATGCGTATAACCATTTCTTCTTTTGAGTGTTCGCTACAGGTGCAAGCGCTATAAATCTTGTCGCTATTTCAATATTGCCATCCTGTTGACTTTGATTTCTGAAAGGTAATACATCTTATTTATAAATAAATTATCATGCTACAGTAAACAAATTCTTGAAATTAATTCAGTATATTGTACCTATATGGTGGTCTTTCATAATGAATTCCTTCTAACGCTGACACATGATACCTTGGCTTTACTTGTGCAGCTAACCATGCAATTAATTTTGAACCCTGATAAGTAAGATTCGGTTTATTAGGATCCAAATTTGTAATTCCAGCAGGCCAAGGAGATGTTAATAGTATGTCAATGCCTCGAAAACTTGGTTGACCTCTTAAGCAAGAATTCTTAATTGCCACAACATCGCTTTCATTGAAATAAGTAGACTTTAATTCAGAATTACTTTCTGTACCACTAACATATGCGATTTTGAGTCCTGATGTAGCACTGTACACACCCCGTTTTCCTAGATAAGTAAGATTCTGACATATTTCACAACCATCTTCATCTGGATAATTTTTTAAATCCGACTCTCTATTCGCGCCAATAATATACGTTGGAACTGGAATGTGTTTGGCAGCATTTTTATAAACCTCAAGTTCTATATTATCTTTCCCGAAAAAATTTCCCACACATAGTAAAAAATCGAAGGGGCCGCTCTTTTTATTTATAGATTCAACTTTATTAAATAAAAATTTAAAATGACCCTCTACGTCTCCACAAATTAACACCTTCTGTTTTTCATTCATTTTGAGGAATATATATATATAACCTCAATTGGAAAAACGCACAAAATCTTCGGAGACTATGCTTACGTACAAAATTTATTATTTGTGTGAAACTGTAACACTCTTTCGTCACTATTCATCAACAAATAGTCTTCTAAATACAAAATTTTATGTTATTGGCATTTTACCCGCGCACAATAAACACCACGATTGAAACACTTGTATATAACCTACTTCGAAACCTAGCGATATCACATCGATTCTTGGAATCGATGCTTTATTTTGTAAAATCGATCTTTTTACTCGATGTTTTAAGATATCGACAGAGATGAGTAGAGCAGTGTTGTAAGATTTGAAGAAATTCTGTCTTAGCGCTCTCGACGGTAGAGAGACGAACCTCAGCAAGTTTTTCGGATTTTTCTTGAAAAAGGAAAAGTGAGCAATTCAAACTAATTGGTGAGCAAGTATGGGCAATAAAAGAGCAATTTGTTGAGCTATATTTCATTAATATTGGTGGGCTTCGCATGGATATTATACATCTGCCAAGAGTTTTACTTGCAATGGACACCTGCCTTTAGGTCTATGGGTCCACGTAATTTACTTTCTTCGTCTTTAACTATGAGGGCAGCACTACTCAGCCAATCAGAACAAACCAGTTTCTTAGCCAGAAATTTCCCACAGGTTCTCTTCTATGTAAATTCTCTGTGATGATACTAGTCGATACTAGTTGTGCGACTTTCACTTCTTAGCTTGGTTTTGTTAGTTGCGATATTTATATTGTGATAAAGAGTTGTAGGAATTGCAAATTTTTTTCGCTACATACAATATATATGTATATACATAGACGTATGCATACATGAATGCATATACAAACGGATAAAGTATTTTAATATCGTTCTTGTGGATTAGTCATTTATTTAAGTTTTTATTAATAAAAGTCAGTGATAACAACGTATACAAGACAAAAGTTCGTAGGACAGTTCAAGCATGTAAGAGATCTGAAAAAAGAAAGTCTATATAGACAGGAAGATAACCTTATTTTTACTGTCTATAGTTGTAGTTAATTATTTATGAAATTTCAATACTCTTTCACTTTTTTATCGTTGTGAATACACACATTTTGAATACGACAAATTCTTACATATATATGATGTCTACAATGTCATTATTTGACGATAACGTATCATATTTATAAGAAAACGAAGTTTTGAACAAAAAGGAATATAATTAAAGTGGATTTGCTTTCGAGGAAACTTAGAATTAGACAATCTAAAAAGTAATAAAGATGAGTTCTCATCATCATTTAAATCCATTGTCTGGTGATATAGAACACATTAATCATCTCTCTGATGATATTGGCGCACTTTATCTCTCCGATGAGTATTCAGATGTAACTGTAATTGTTGGTGGACAAAGATTCAATGGTCACAAAATTATATTAGCTGCACGTAGTCAATATTTTAGAGCTCTTTTATTTGGAGGTTTAAAGGAATCAACACAACGAGAAATTGAATTAAAAGATGCCAATTTGGCTTCGTTTAAAGGTTTATTTGAATACATATACACAGGACGTATGTCGCTTACAGATAGACGTGAAGAGGTATTTCTTATTTTTTTAAAACTAAGTTCTTAAATTATAAACAAATCTGTGTAATGTTTTATCCTTTGTAGGTAATTTTAGATATTCTTGGATTGGCTCATCTTTATGGGTTTTTAGAACTAGAAACCTCTGTATCAGATTATTTAAGAGAAATATTAAATATAAAAAATGCCTGTCTCATATTTAATGCAGCATTTTTTTACCAAATAGAATGTCTTACAAGGGTATGAATATGATATCAAAACGACATCCTAAAGAATGTTTAAACATAGAAGAATTCTATTCTTATATAGGTTTATCAAGAATATATGGACAAACATGCTTCCGAAGTGATACAACATGAAAGCTTTTTGCAGTTAAGTGCTGCTGCTTTGAATGAGCTTATTTCAAGAGATTCATTTTATGCGCCAGAGATTGATATCTTTTTAGCTGTACAAGCTTGGGTAAAGGCGAATTCTGATACTACTGACAGAAGTGTTTTAGGTAGGACAATATTAAAAATAGATGTATTTAAGAAGTAAAAGAATAGAAAAGGAAATTATGCACTTAAATATATTAGAGGTTTCCATCAAAGTAACACAAGTAATTTTATAGATAAGGTACGATTAAGCTTGATTTCTATTTTGGATCTCTTGAATATTGTTCGACCAAGTGGATTAGTTGCTCCCAACATAATTTTAGATGCAATTGCTACAAAAGTACAAAGACGAGATTCTGATCTTACTTATCGAGGTCGATTACTTATAGATGAAAATGTTGCCCATCCTATGCATGGGGCTCAAGTTCTGCAGGGTGAAATGCGTAGTTATTTATTAGATGGGGATACAAGCAACTACGATTTGGAACGAGGGTAAATGAATAAATGGTTTTCATGTTCGTAATCATTCAAGTACAATTTTCCCTCTTCTTTAGGTACACTAGGCATACAATCACAGAATCACAGGAATATGGTATTTTGATTAAATTGGGAACTCAATGTATCATTAATCATATCAAGATGTTGCTTTGGGATAAAGATATGCGCTCATATTCATATTACATAGAAGTAAGTAAAACAAAATATGTTAAATAGATAGCTATTATGAGCTTGAATAATTATTTTATTTATAAATAGGTGTCTATGAATCAAAAAGATTGGGTGACTGTTATTGATCACACAGAATATTTATGTCGCAGTTGGCAGTATTTATATTTTGAACCTAGGGTAGTTCTATATATTCGTATTGTTGGAACAAATAATACTGTAAACAAGGTAAAACTTTATTCTTACTTCTTGCATGAAAGGAAGGGAAAGATTTGAATCATTTTCTTTATACTAATTTTCCTTAGGTTTTCCATGTTGTAAGCTTTCAAGCCTATTATACGAGTCAAACAGAAAAACTTTCCAATGGTTTTGTTGTTCCAACACGAAACGTTGCTACTATGGATCGTAGTGCTACTGTTACCGAAGGAGTTTGTAGGCATGTAAAATATTATATTTTATTTCTTTCTCTATATAATAATTGTTTTTTAATTTTAGAACAAGAAATGCTTTATTAAATGGTGACACCTCAAATTATGATTGGGATAGTGGATATACCTGCCATCAGCTTGGTTCTGGATCTATTTTAGTACAACTTGGACAACCATATGTCATAGATTCTATGAAGTATGTACTGTAATTAACACTATTAAAGGAGAGCTCTCTGATTAATATTTATCTGTTTAGATTATTGTTATGGGATTGTGACAATCGTTCGTATTCATACTACATAGAGGTATCTGGTAATTGTTGTAATTGGACTCGTGTTGCTGATAAAACTAGAGAAACTTGTCGTTCTTGGCAAACCATTCACTTCGAACCGCCACGTCCCGTTGTCTTTATACGCATTGTTGGAACATTTAACTCAGCAAATGAGGTTAATATTTATAAACCTTAACAAGCTTATGCAGAGCATTCGATTATGCTTGTCAATTATTTTAAAGAGCGATTCGATAAGCCAATGTAATACGAAAAATGGAAATGACGTCTTTATTGTAACAGTATTGTTTTCAAATTACTAATTAGTAAAGTATCACTTTTTAACATGATTTATATATGCCACTATTGATAGATCGTAGATTCTTAATCGTTAGTAATTTAGAAACAAAACCGTTAAATCAGTCAATTTAAGATGGAAAAAATTTTCAGTATGCATATAAGTTATCGAGATCTATGGAAGGCATTTTTAAAATTTTTGTTGTAGGCTGAGATAAAGTTTTTTACTTTTTCTGTCGTTCTAAATAACAGCAAAATTAAGAGAAAGTATTTCAGTTATTGTCTCATGGATTAGTCCCACTACCATCTAAAAATGTTCAAGTCATTTAATTCAGTTTTAAAAAAGTTAGTGCGTTTTAAAAGGTATTCGAACACTTTCGTGAGCCTGTGTATATCTAAGATAGGTCAAAGATCTTGTACATATATAGGATATATCTTTCACATATGGAAATATTAAAGAATGAAATCGTGCTTAATATATATATTATTTAAACATAAACAACATCTATTACAATTTATACTTTATACTTTAGGTTTTCCATTGTGTTCATTTTGAATGTCCGGCTGAGGTAAATGATAAAGATATAGCTAAATCTCCAGTACATAAAGGAAAACAAGCAACACCTACTGAATCTACGCTTTCAATAGCAACACCTCCGCCAGAAACAACTACAGAAGCAGTAAATCTTGATCAGGAAGAACTAAATCCGAATTGTAATAATGTTTGTTCATAGTTCACTAATTTTTTAGAAAAAGATCATGCATAATATTCTACCAGTTTTAATTCAACAATGCATTGAATCTCAGTTTTCAAAACTGTATATGTTAATTACACGTGTTAAGTATCAACAAATTTGTATAATATTAAGTAAATTATTATTGTAAAAATAGGTG